GAGCTAGAACTCGTCAAAGTGAGGTCAATTCCTTGGCCAATCTTCCGCCTAACGGTTACGCTTTGTCATGAACATCTACCTACCCCCTACCCTCTTATCTCAATTCCGCCCAATCAAAATTTCTGACTAATTTAAATTACACTCCTCAAAGATGCGCTCTTTTTGCCGAGTTTAGTGTAGTCATCACACCTGTTGTTTACCTTGCCCCTTCTCTGTCTCGGTCTGTTGATCCGCTATCAGGATCTCCCTCATGGGCCAGTAGATCCGTTTCTTATATTTGTCGTTGATCGATTTCACTTGGTTCCTGTCCCAGTGCATGCTTTATTCCAAGCTCTATTTCTCAAGCATCCAGTAGTACGTAGAATGTTGCCCTACCTGCAAAGCATTGTCTCCGCGGATCATCTCCTTGATTCAACTCGTGTACCCTGAACAAACTGTGGTCGCCTGCTGTCTCTCGACTGGATTTATAATCCCAAATTTCAGTGACGATTGTGATCATCCGTCTACCTAGTGATGTGACCGCCAGGCCCCCAAAGTCGTCGTTGCTTCTTCGAACAGACTTTTCTTAACAAATTTCTCTTAAGAGCCCCATTCTATCGAATGATTTCAACATTTAGAAAAAGTAACCTTCCCTCTTCCCCTACTTCGATTGTAAATTTGATTCTTTCATCAATCTGGTCTATAAACTTCAAGAAATCTTCCCATTTTTTTCCTTCCATGCGACCTAAGCGCGAAATAGTCATCGCCTAGAAGCCTAATCATTATGTATTTATTAATAGCATCAAGTGTAATGGCAAATAAAAGGTTGCCTTATAGATTCTAGTACTACTTTAAATGTGATTTGATATACTTAGCTTGCGTTGAAAATCAATCTGCTCTGATACTTGCTAGTATTCCGGGCTTTAGCAATGTTAATGTGTCCAGGTAACGCGTTAAATTTGATTTTAGATCCAGCTTAATGTGCTGATGAGACCCTGACAAAAGCAAGAATAAATAGCCCTTAAAGAAAAAAGGCTTAATTAAATTCAATAGCATCGTGAGACCTCATACTCATTTGATTGCAGAAAACTTAACTATTATGCCCTACATCAGCTAAGGCGAACTGGGGTGATTGCACTTCATAAGGGTTATAGTTACCTGAAAGTGCTTCGTTTTTCCAGGAGTAAAAGAGACTGATGTCTTTTTCGATCCAAAAAGGGCATTTAGAGTACTTGATTTTCCTACATTTGGATAACCTACGAATCCAATGGTAAAATATTTCTTGCCGTCTCTGACAAGTTCTTTTTGCTCCAATTTATGGTGTTTTGCTTCAAACCCATGTTGTCTCTGGTCTAATGCTCCAGATTTCATTTTATTATGTGGATAAAAGTCGACTAAATGAGACTTTGTCTCATCAATTGCTTCAGCATCATTGGTACCGTAATCATCCTCTCCTTCATCTGCATAAACTGCCTCAGCATTACTGTCCCTTTCATCTTCCGAAATAATTGTTGTTTGAGATTCCGATAAATCGGAAGTACTTTCTGGATCAGAATTAAGGTTGTTGTCGTTCAAATCAGGTGTTCTGACCATGACGTCTGGGAGAAGTAAAGTAGACCGTGCGACTGCCAGGAGGACTTCAATTATCTGATCAGCAACCAAAATATCTGGAACATTGCAGATGCTGA